ACGTCGAAGTCTACTCGTCCCCCGGCATTCAGGACATTCGATAACGGGCAGTTGTGATCGTCTCGCTGCACCTTGTGGGGCTTGTATCTCTGTATTATTGGATGGTCTTTCTTTGTTTCTCTCTTTTCGCTCCCCAGGACCGATGACTCTTGCCATGGTCTCGACTTTCACAGGCAGGACCTTTGAGGCACACCAGACGCGCCTGCCTCTCTTCTCACCCCTACTTTCCAACCATGTCCTACCTTACCTACCTAGCTATTTTACCTGACCTTGGGGACCTTGGGTAGGTAGGTAGGTAGGACCGTAGGTACCTTAGATAATGGACCTTCGCGTCTTCCCCAACCTCCCCCTCCACCCAATGCTGCCCTCCGAGCCTCATTACTCTCAAAACTCCTGTCAGATCAACAATCTCACGTCGCTATCACCACCACCCACATTACTTCTTGGAGTATGGACCATGCTTAACTGCCATCTGTGCTTTGCCGGCAGCAGTTGTCTTTCCCCAGAGATACCCCAATCCGCAACAGGCCTTGCCGACCAGGCGGCCCGCGACGTCTTTCACCATCCTCTTAGCCCCTCCCTCGAGGACCTCCGCCGCCAGCAACGCCTCATCGTCCGCGCCAACAGACGGAGCCGCGTCCGTCTGCCCACCGGCCGCGTGTCGCCACCGCTGCACGTATCTGTCTGCCGAAGGCTCGAGAACGTCCATCCTGCATCCATTGATGCCGCGTTAGCTGCGAAGAGAAGACGACAGGACATGCGCCTGCGCAGGCACCTGACGAACGAGGCGCGCCCGCAGAAGCCCATTGTCACGCCCCAGACGACTGAATCAGTAGTGAAGCCGACTGTTGACCTTGCGACGCACCCTCAAGAGCCGACAATGCACTTCTCAGGCCAAAAATCTCAGAATGCCCCATCTGTTCCTCCGCGCAACCCAGGTCGAACCTCTAGTCGGTTCCTCAAACCGAGGCCGATATCATCGGTCCGGAGGCCGATTCTGAGCCAGCGGCAACCAAAGCTGCGTCGGGACTCCGCGACGCAGACAGTCCTATCGCAGGGAGGGCTTCCGAACAGCGCGCATCAAGCTGTATTCTTGGGCCATAGGTCCTCCAAAGCTCAGGGTCAAGCCTCGCCTGTCCATGTCAGGTCTTCACTGGAGGTTGACCCTACATTGTGGGATGCCGTCCGTCGCAGCCTTTCTCAGCAAAGCCACATCTCATCCCTCATATCGCCTCTTGAAGCCATATCTGTATCTTCAGGCCCATTGCCCCCATCGCGAACTTCCAGCCAACGCAAAGCTCTTGACCAGTTCACGCAGCAGCTCGAGACATTCGCTAAGCGCAGAGGCGTTGCGGGTAGGGTTCCTGTCTTCACACCTACACCACAATCAGCAACTTCATACCACACGGTATCTGCATTACTTCCATATCAGGCGGAGTTCCAAAGTGCCGGGTTGGCTGTGACATCTATACAACAACAAGAGCGCTCTCCAGACCGAAAGAAAGCACCGCGAGCTCCCCTCGAGGCGCTCATCTTTTGCGATCACAGAACCTCCAAGCTTCGGGAATCTCCCAATGTTCGCAGCGAGGATGAGATCGGCGCGTTTCATCTGGACGGGGTTTACAAAGAATTGCCGACACGCACCAGCTCATCCAGCTCGTCTTACTCGAGTCACGACACGGAGATTATCTTTACGGATCCAAGCAAACCACAGGACCTCACATAGCTTGATCAGGTCCCGCCGTCCAAGGATAGATCAACAATCAAAATTTGTCACCTACCATGCTTTCAAAACGAGCAGACATCAACTGCTGGTAGCACACCAATTCCTCAAAGGTCGCTAAAGACGCCCAGAAAAGCTCTGCGACAAGGTCAGCCTGAGAATACTGGCCATACGCAACGGAAGCACCATCGCCATGATGTACGACATGTACGGCAACCAGATCTCACGTCACAAGACGGGACCGCACCCGTACCAAATTTCGCAAACCGGCCGGCAGTCGAGCTCCCTACGCAGTCCAATCATATTCAAAATGCCACTCCCACAAAACCGACAGGGCTGCGTCAAAGACACAATCAGCACTCCAGATCACCGCCTATAGACTACTCCGCGCTCAAAGGTCTACGAAAGCCTCCACAACTGCATGGACAGAGAAGTACGCTGCATCGACCGGCGGGACAAGCCGAGAAGGCTGCTACAACCGAACACAGACGATCCAAAGCGGAAATACCTACATCTATAAATGCCAGGGCATCTGCGGTTGGCCGTCCTGCGACAATCACTGAAGAGCCTACTCTCCCCGGAGTTACTTTAGATGGGATATCGAAAAATGCCAAGGCTTCAACTGTTAGCCCAAGAGGAAGACCTGGTCAGTCGCTCAGGATCTCGGCTCGACAGCCGGAACGAAAAGCCCGCGAGAAGCTTGAACTGGCCAAGAAGCATCGTGACATGCAGCGAGCTCACCAGCGGCCATCCAGTATCTTCAGCGGTCGAGCGCCTCTGCCTAAAGAGCCCGCCCATCCCCCTCCGTCACCACCCGCGCCAACTATAGGCTCAACGAAAGCCAGCCTTGTCGCCAAATGTGCTAAATCCGGCATGTCCGTGCTGGAGATACCACCCATGTGGGCACATGAAGTCGATAATGCATCCTCACTGAGGACGGTGCTTTTAGATGCCTTGGAAACGCTACAAAAGGAGGGAGATGCAGTTGCGGCATCGCTCGCACCAGTACAGAAGGATGCCTCTCATGGTCAAGGAAAAGAAAACGCAGTCCTATCTCCCGCGGATCCGGAGATATCTCTCCCTCGGGGTAAATTGTCTCCTCAAGCTACATCTTTTGAAGGCACAGAAACAAAGCCAGAACTGAGCGCTGAAACTACCAGTGCTTCCGGCGCTGACGTGCTATCGGACATACGAACACATTCAGCGGCGGGTGTTTCGCACCACGAGGCTACTGACACTCCGGCCGTGAATACGGGCTCTGCGCAACCCGGTTTTCAAGGCGGGTTCGACGACCGAGACGTCCTCCGAGGCTTACGTATTGCAACTTCTGCAGCGTGCGATGATGACGTGGACACATGGATACGGGAGAAGACTGGAGTTTGGATACGGCGGTTCTTGGCGGACCTCAGGGCGTTTGAGGTGCTCGGGAACGAGCCGGAGCCGGAACCGGAACAGCCGGAACAGCGGGCCCGGCGACGGAGGGCAGAGCTACGTATACCCAAGGCGCAGGCACGTCGGTCGCAAATGGCACATCAGGGGTTGGTCTAGCAATGGCAGGG